ATCCTCACACAGCGCAGCTTTCATTAATTATTTTAGCAGTACGGTCCCACCGTCAGCTGCGCTGAGGTCGTTAATTTTTTTTTGTTTTTATTTAAATATGTACTTGCTCATGTTGCTGTTGTTGTATACCTACATTGTGGTTATTGCTGTTGTTATTGTTGTCACTTTTGGTTGTGCGGTTGCAGCTTTATGATGATTTACAATATTATTATATGCACCCATGCCGCGTTCCTTCTGACCACCAGACTGCCATGTCGTCGCCACCCTTGTCGCTACCAACGCTATCGCTTTGCATGCCGGAGCGCACGTTGCATTGGCTTGGCGGTTGGTTGCCTCCCCTTACCTTGGTCATTACTGGCTTGGCTCGCTGGCTGACCGTCTCGCTGCAACGTACGACTTCTAGTTGGACGGTCGGTCGACCGGATGGTTTGGCTGGCTGTTGGAATTACTCGTCGACTTTTTTCCTGTTTATATTTTATTTATTATTTTTTGCCATTTGTGCATTTCGTTGTCGACGGTTGTCGGTTGTCGGTTGTCGGTTGCTGTTTGGCGGTTTGTCTCTGCTCTATGCTCGCCGCAGCCGCCTGTTCATTGTGTTGTTGTTGTTTGTGTGTGCTGCACAGCACTACACTGCACTGCATTTCACTGGGCTGTGCTGTGCTGTGCCGTGCGGCAGTTGCTTGCTTGTTTGAGTGTATTTTTAATTAATTGTATTTAATTGCGATAATTTGTGTGCACTTTAAATGCAAAATGTGAGTAGCAATTGAGTGCGGATTTTCATATGGTCGGTCGTCATAGTTCCTCGGTCGGTCGGTGAGGTAGTGGAGTCGTTGTCGGCTTCTGTGGTTGGTTGGTTGGTTGGATGTATGTACATATACGTGCAGATGGCAAGAATTGAAGCAACAACAGCAAAAACACAGGCCTGAACAACGATAAAATGTCCAGCAACAACAACAACAACAACAACAGCGAAAGCAATGCCAATCAGACAACACTTTACGGGGCGACACAACGACAACGACAACGACAACGACAACGACACCGCCAACACCACATATCGGACATTATCGCTGTCGACATCGTCATTGGGCAATTGAAATTGTAATTGAGTGTTTCGTTATTGATTTATTGAAGTTGATTTATTGCCAAAATGTGTTTACTGCGCTACATTGATGGGTATTAAGCACGTACAGTCATGTGAAAAATAATAGGGACTTGACATTTTGAACAGTTTTGGCTATTTTTGTTCTGTTTGTTTAATGATTATTTTTTTTTTTTAATAAAAATACAGGTCGTCATCTAACAAAACCATATAAGTGCAAATTACAAACATTGCAGAAAAACTCAACAAAATTTTACAACAACAAAAACAACTTTATTAAGAATTTTTATAAAAAAAAATCTATGTATGCAGTTTTTAGCCCATTGAAATTTGTACTTTTTGCTAGCAATGTTTTTTTGTTAAATAATGGATGTATTTTTATAACCAAACAATTAATATTAAGCAAACAAAAGAAGAACTAGTCAAAATGTCGTGTCCCTATTATTTTTCACATGACTATACATACTTACTTGGACACTCTTGTTGTTGCTGTTGCTTTTGCCTATACGTTTACATTACGTTTCCTTGCTTTGTTCGTCGGCTCGTCGTTATTTTGGTGTTGTTGTTGCTGTACACGGTAGTAAGTGGATTTGACGCTTTATTATCTACTGCTGCTATTTTCGTTATTATCCTTGATTTTCGAGTTATTATTCTTGTTGTTGTTGTTGTTGCTGTTTTCAGCACTGTAACAATTACACATAAATCATCTGTGCGGAAAATCCTTTTACAGCTGTTCGATACAGCAGCATCCATTCAATGTGAAGGCGAACAAAGGTGCGAACTTACACGGTTATGCTGTGTAAGTAAAGTAGGGTGTATCCTGGCACGCACACATACATTCACAGTCCTTTTGAACAGATTGATTTAAGTCGAAAGAGAAGCGTCTTACATACATACATACATACATACAAAAATTATTTACTTTTGGGTCTACGATTTTGTGCTAATATGATTACATATAAACCATTTACGCCTCCCTCTACCTAGATTTGTGTGTAGATAGTATATTCGGTTGTGCATCCCTTGGGCTTAGTGCCTTCCTTGCTTTGTTGTTGCGTTTCGAAGCCTAGCCTGCAATTTTGTGTACCGTCTGTTTGTTCTGCGGATGTTTATTTAATTTTTAATTTTTGCATCGTTCTTGGATTCGTCTCATATTTCCTATTAAGAACGTGCATTCTTGCCTGTGTGTATGTGTTCTTGCTAGAACATCCCCATAAGAAATTGCATTGCAACCGAATTATTTTTGCTATTGTATTGTATAAATACATTTCGTTTCAGAAATGGCCCACAGCAAAGAGCTAATTGGTTATAATTTTTCTAGGAGGATCCTGCTTTTAAAGACCTGCACTGTGCGCTTTTCTTACGATTTTTTAAAGGGAAAAATGAACAGAGGCCACATAACCTTTTCTGATATTTTTCTTTGCATATGTTTAAAGTCCTCAAAAAAAGTTTCCACCGAAAATAAAACATAAAACTCCAGCCGAGTATCATCGGTTATTTGTGATACTGCCAGGAGAACGAAAATTCGCAGAAAAGTGCAATGCAAGGAGCTTGTCAATTAGGGTTGCCAACATTTTCTAAGACATTTATAGTACTTTTCCAAAATAATCGGAAAAAGTATAGTACATTACAAATAAATATAGTATTTTATGTAAAAGAAAAAGTAAAAACGCTTTTTAGGTAATGGAAAAAGTTCTTCCTGTAAATGCCGAAGTTGCTGGAATAGAGAGTAAAAAAGAAATAATTTTAAGTAAATTTGTTAGTTCTTTCTTAGTGTTTTTTTTTGTAAATGTTGCCTTTTTTGATTATAAACTCACTATGACCTTTTACTTTAAAGAATATTTAATCAATATTTCTTGCAGATTACTGAAATATATTTATATTCATAGCTGAAGAAACATAGTATTTTCGCGTACTATATTTTTTTCCAACATACTGTTACATAGTACGCGGATCGGAAAAATAGTACAATACTATATATTATAGTATGGTTGGCAACCCTAATGTCAATCCACCCAAAAAGTGAGAGTTGCGGCTTTGTAAAGATTTCTCGATCGCCTGCAGTCCACTTCAGGCCAGAAAGCCGGTGCCGTTGTACATGCCTTTGCCTTCGCCCAGCGTTCGCTGAGCAGACACTAGGTGCAACTGTCCAACAGCAGTCGCCTAAGTAGCCAAAGGTAACCCCACTCTCTCGACGAGATCGACTCGATGGTGCATTACTAAGTAGGTAGTAATCAGATGCAATTGAAAGAAGAGTAGTCTGGCAATCCGCTACTAGCATATAGCGAAACGTGGACGAGCTCAGCGCTCTGATTGCCGCTTAGCTGCCAGAGTAGAAGCTTCCTCCACCCACCAGGAAAAGGCTCGCAAGTTTTTTCCTACGTGGTCTCTTCACATACTTATGCTTATTTGTGCGTATGCACGCTTTGCACTGCAGGAGAGGCATGTTTATGATTTCGCTGTCAATTACAGTGAATTTAATTGTCCAACCTTTGCATTGATGTTTGTTGCACCCTCCTATACTTTACACTTTCTGCACTGATATCTGCTACTTCACTTGCTTTATGGTGATGCACATTGATGCGCTGGGTAGTAAGGGTAATTGTTGCGTACGTGCGCGATGCCAGGTAGGAATGTTGCATATAAACTTTTATTAATTTTTTTTAGCAGTTTACTTTGATACTTGGAAAATCATATTTCTACCGATTATTTTTTTTTTTTAATGAATAACAGGTATGCCTCAAAATATGAAATTTTTTTTTAAGAATATAATCTTGCATTCATAAACCCGATTCATGTTTACCACGCAAATTTAGAGATTTTTGGTAATCGAATTCCATTACAGTATCTACTATATTCCCCTGATTGTTATATAAGCAAAGCGCGCCCCTAAAAATATGCGCCTAAACTATGATACGCCATTTTAATGTTATTTCTCAGTTCTTGTGCGCAATTCTCAAACGATGTAAATAAAAAATTAGTTTAAAATCCAGAACACTGCTCGCTCTATGGCATTTCTATCTTAAGATATAACATAGTCACTATAAGAAGAAGTACATCAAGCAGCCCCTTTAAAGTCTAGATCTTAGATTTTTTAATTTATTTTAATTTTCTATAAAATTTTTTTATTACATATATGTAATTAATTTTATTCAATCAAGTTTTTTTTGTTTTATTTGCTTTTTTTTTAATTTACATGTAATTTCGTAAAGTGTTTTCTTGTTTTTTATTTTTATTTTTTCTTATTCTTCATTCGTGTTATTTGTTTTTTTTTTGCTATTTTGTTGCTTTTATTTATTTTTTATTTTTTGTGCTTGTTTTTGTTGCTTTCGATTTTTTTACTTTTGTTTTGTTTACTATTTTTTTATTTAGTTTTAAAAAATTGTTACCAATTGTTAATTTTTTTTAATTTAGTTTTCTTCCTTTTGTTAAAGAATGATTGTTTTGTGATTATAGTTGGAAAATTTTCAATTTGCACAACCGCCGGTTATGCATAAATTATTATTATTATTTTTTTTGTAATTGTGACATTCTTCTAACTTACGATCGATGTGTGGTTTTAACTTTGCCTTCGATTTTCTGGTTTTGTGGTTCTTTTAATCACTTTTTTCCAACAGGGTATTAACACACAATTGTTTAAGTACTACGTGCCTTTCTCTACATTTCATTGCCACTGTTTTACGTCTTGCCAAGCATCATCCACCAACATCATCGTCGTCGCGCTCTATCAATTGCCTTTGTCATCTGGCCATTTTTGCTTACTTATGAATTTTCAATTAAATTACTTCGTTGCCACTGCGCTTGATGCATACTTTATATGTACATATTGAATACATGCATACATACATACATACAAACTATATATATAGTATCTATATATATTCTCTCTCTCTTGCAGTTTGCATATTTTCATCATAGAGGGCAATAAAAAGCTTAACACTGGACCGGAAGCGTGTCTTTAAAGGGTAATGGCGGCCTCCACTCAGGGAGAAATTCGAGTGGGTCCCGGCCACCAGGTAAACGATGTCTATGTACGTACATAACTCACGAAAATCTCACGGTAACAAGTCTATTTTTTCAAATTCAAAATTTTCATTAAAATCAAATCCAAATCAAAGTTCAACTCAAATCATCTCGAATCGAAACAAATCCAATTGTAATCGTAATCATAGACGTACAAAAAATTCATGCACTATGTAGTAGTCATAATACTTTTTGTTTTAATATACATATATTATTTATTTTTTTTTAATGTATTATATCTTAGTGTAACTAAAATTGTTTTACCAAAAATAATTGGTTTCTTTGAATTTTAATTTAATTTTATTTTTTAAATTTTTATTTTTTAAATTTTTATTTTTTATTTTTAAAATTTTTTATTTTTATTTTTGTTTTATTTTTTTTTTTGTGCTGCTGCCTTGCGTTGAGTAGCTAGTGCGCTAAAATAATTCACATTTTCACATTTTAATTTGCTGTCTGTTGACATGGCTGACAAGTTGTTACTTGGCGTTACTTGTGTGTACATACATACATACATATGTGCATAGAATGTGTAATTTGTGTGTAAATATATTAGTAGGCACTTGTGTTTGGTTGTTTATGATTAGCTGTTTTTGTCGTAGTTTTCTCATTTTTGTTGCTAGTCTTGTTCTTGTTGTTTTACGTTTTATTGTTTTGTGGTTTTATTTCATGTTGTTTCATGTTTTTATTTTTCATTGTTATAATTAAGTTAGTATTTTCTCGTGATTATGCCTGTGTAATTAGCACTAAGCGTTTAATCGCATTGAGGTGGTTTTATAAATTTAAATAAATACATTTGCAATTAATTGTATATATGTATGTTCGTAAATACTTAACTCACGACAAATATGGGTTAATTGAAATTTAATTGCTGGTATTTTGCTGGGGTTTTAACACCATATCGGTTAGCTGTAGATATTTCTACAGAAGTTAAGCGAATTATGTGCGTGGGAAAATTTTTGTATTTTTGTTTGTTGAAGTGGTCGATTGTTAGGCGTTAAGTAATCCTTACCACCTGTTGCAATATACCAATGCATAAATAATTAGCGAACAATAAATTATGCATTTTGAATAACTTTAGGTAGAGGCGGATAAAAGTCTTAGGCTAACAGAAATTTCACAATTTCTTTGGGACAGAGTTGTTTCCTTTAAATCCCTTAGTCTAAGATCGTTTTCTTTAGAAGGTACTTACCATATCCTGTAAATAAGCTTAGATACATTTTGGAGTTTAAGATTTTTTCGCAGTTTTGCATTTTTTCTTACTTTTTAATTTTTCTTGGATTTTTGACTTTTTTCGGACTTTTGAACTTTTTCTTAGTGTTTCAGAATTTGTTCGAGGTTCTAAATTTGTTCGTAGGTCTGAAATCTAGGTTTAACAAAGCTGCTCTGGCTTTTTTCGGANCGAATATTTTTTTTTCAATTCTGCATTTTTCCATAGGTGTAGAATTTTTTCGGAGCAGTTCTATTGTATTTTTTTCGGAGTGTTTCCAGAGTTTTTCGAGGTTCTGATTTTTTTGTAGTTCTAAAGGTTTTTCCGGTATTACTTTGTTTTTTTTTCGGAGCTTTGTTTGTTTTTCGGAGTTTTGTTTGTTTTTCGGAGTTTTGTTTGTTTTTCGGAGTTTTTTTTTGAGTTTTGAGATTTTCGGAGTTGTGAGATTTTTTGGTGTTCTGGATTTTTTCGGAGTTCTGGTTATTTACGTTGTGAATTTTTTTAGTGCTGTATTTAAAATTTTTTTTTTTTAAGTTTTTTTTCGGAGTTAGGATGTTTTTGGAGTTGTCGGGAGCTTCACTGTTAGTTTGAGACTTTTCAGAGTTCTGGATTTTTGGAATTTTTATTTTTCCTTTTTGGCGTCTTTCTTAATTTTCTGAGGTTGTGCGAGACGTCGAAATTTTTCCGATTGAGATTTTTCACAGCTAAAAATGTTTGCAAAGTTTTTATAGAATATTGGTTTTAATGAGAAAATTAAAACAGATCGAACAGCAGTTACATAAATAGAATTTTCAGTTTAAAAATTATCGCTTCATTTTGTTTAGCGAATTTTTAGAAAATTTTTATCGTCCTTATCATTAACTTTTTGGTGAAACATTTCACCGGCGAAAAATTTTGTCATCCGAAATGGTTCACTTTATCATGATGTAGAACGATTCCGGTTGAAAGGCATTTCATATACAAAATTTCGAATTTGGGATAACAGCTGTCAAAGGCACGAGTATTTCCAACATTTAAGAAAATTTAGTAATGGTTTCGCGGTTTTAACTGTGCGAGTGACAGTTATTTCACACCGCTGATTAATATTAAACATAAATACATAGGTGAGGGGCATGCGCGAAATTTGAACGAGTTCACATATTATACAAAAACGCTTTCTAAGTGCCAGTTCAATATATTTGCTCCATAATCAGCTAAATAATAATTGAGTATTTACTATAATAATTTGAAATTTACTTAACTCTCGCAAGTAGCAGCACGTGTAAGGTACATACATATATTTCTGTAGAGGAAGCAGAAGAAGGTCAATGTGTAGTGAGAACAAGTCTAACAAATCAACATTTGTATTGGCGCTATTCGTTGACTGACAGCTTTGTTATATATTAATTTTAATTTTTTTTACTTTATCTTTTATTTTTTTTGCAATTATAATTTCTTGTTTTCGTATCTCATTGGTTTAACAGCTCATTATTCTCTTAATATCTCCATACATACATATGTACTACTAACTACATACAGTGACTCAAACAAATGACCACGTGTTGATTTATATTTTTTTTTTTTAATATTCATAATGTTTTTCGAGCTAATTTTTTTGTAATTTTTCTAGAAAAATATCGTCCAACCTTTAACCAAAACCACCTTAATCACAGTTTTAAACTTTTTACAAAACTTACAAATTTCAACAAATTTTTAACCTGAATCTTTAGAACATTTTTGGGTATGCAGTTTTATAGCCAATACAATTTTGTTTAAATGCAGTGCAAGTTTCAAACGGCTAGAAACTCCCGTTGATTTTTGAGTTTTTTTTTTTGGGGACGGATTTTTGCACCTTTTTCCATAAAAGCTTGAATTTCTTATGAAATAAAATGCGGAAGACCGTTAGCAACAAAATTTCAAATAATCAACGCCAGTTTTTATAAATTGCTCTTATTATATAAACCGTAAAAGCCGTCTCAAAAATCAGCGCGATTTTTTTTTTTTTTAGCTGGTTGAAACTTGCACTTCAATGGACTAAAATTGTATGAGCAAAATTTGGGAACTGCATTCCCAAAAATGTTTCAAAGCTTCAGATTAAAAAGTTGAAGTTTTGATGAACATTTTTTGAATTTTCCTAAATTTTTGTATAAAGTGTGATTTATATGTTTTTGGTTAAAGCTTGGCCGGTATTTTTAAAGAAAAATTACAACAAAAAATTAGTTCGAAAAGCATTATGAATAATTAAAATAAAATCAACACTTGGTCATTTATTCGAGTCACTGCATGTAGTATGTACATACATACATACGCGTACCTACCATATCATTTGCATCGTATTATTTTCCCCATATAATTGGCTCAAAATAATTGACAATTAGTAATATAATAAAGTCACTTAACCCGTTCGATATGCTGGCGTTGTTATTGTTATTGTTATACTTCTTGTTGCTATTGCTATCGCCTGACTACACATATGTACATACATATTGCCAAGCAAAAGCATAACCAGCATCGAATGGGTTCTCTAATAATATGGTTTTGATTTTCACCCCTATTTCCGATCCCAATCCTTCCAAACATTAATCACACTCATTTCATCTACATATGTATTTATGTCGTAGGTATTTTTGTACATACAGACATACATAAATACATACTGCAT